AATATTAGCTGTATTAACCAAAATCTGTTTTTGTACCAGGCTGTAAACACCTTTTTTTCTGCTGTAAAGTTGGCCATTCTAACAGTGGGCTCAATTGAAATTTGCTCTGTTTTGGAGCCAGGAGCGGCCAGGACTAGCCGAATTTCGGATGAATTGCAGTTTTAGTTACTTCCGTATTGGCTTCCTGAGGGAGAGCGGGAGGTGGCCGCTTGGTTTTCCCCCATCCACACTGAGATGGAGCAGCAGCGTTTTAGAATGAAAACAGCCTCTCCAGCGTTTACAAAACGCTCTGTTTTTTGGCGCTCAAAAACTCTGGCGTAGTGTAGATGGATAATAATAAAAAATAAAAATTATCATTATAATAACAAATAATTATTACAACATGAAGGCCAGTAATCAGTGATAATGACTTTTTGTCATTGCAATTAATCCCTAAAATGAGTTCTTATCCAACTGGGATTTTATTTATTTATTGTTTGTTATTGGTATAACATTGATTGACTAAAATAATTCAAGTGTTTGACTTAAACGACAACACAGAAACAAATGACACATTTTTAAAAAGTGTCCCTAAAAAGCCTGAATGCCTTCCCTAGGTAGGCATCCAGGTGGCATCCAAAACTGATTCCCAAGCCATCTCAGCTGACTTCTCTCGATGTGGAGGAGCAGCGGCTCTACTCCGAGCTCCTCCCATGCAGGTGACAAAGCTCCTTACCCTATCTATAAGGGTGCGCCCTGCCACCCTGTGAAGGAAACTCATTTCGGCAACTCATAATCATAGGTGAGAATAGGAACATAGATTGACCAGTAAATCGAGAGCTTTGACTTTTGGCTCAGCTCCTTCTGTTCAGACAACTGACCAGTACATCGACCGCATTATTACTGCAGTCAATGCCCACTTCCCTCACTTGTGAACAAAACCTCAAACTACTTTAACTCCTCCCCCCGGGGTATTCCTCCAACCTGGAGATGGTAAACTACCTTTTCCTGGTGGAGAACCATCACATCATGCTCCTTCTACTTATGCTCTGGATAGTTGCAATGAGGTTTTCAGTCTCATCAGGTTTTTCTAACATCTCTGAAATGAATTTTAAATTGAAAATGTTTATCAAAAACCATCTCGTGTCCCTGATTATGACTAGGAACTTCTTTTAATGCGCTGCTGACATTTTCATGTTGTGTACTGACACAGCGATAACCTAGTTTGAGAGTTTTGTATGTGCCAAAGCAAACACATCTGCTCTCCAGTGGCTTGCTAGGATGTGTCGTTCCTATTTTATCCTGCCCTTTACCCTGTAAGTTACTGGCCAGAACAGGGGAAAATTTGTGCCTCACTGAAAATGATCAAATCTGGTATCTCTGAACTACTTAAGGATAATTCGTTTAAATGTTTGACTAAATGATCAAAAGTTTATATCATGCTCGTAAATATAAAAAGGGAGTTTGCTGTTATTCTGAAGATTTTATGAAATTGTATGTCTCCAGATTTGTTTTTGTGGATGGAGAATCATTAAAAGCAATCCATTATTGTACATTTTTAAACAAAGTATCTTGGTTAACCAGTTATTCTCTGCTGTTATATTTGAGATATTCAAGAGATGGTTTTGATATTGCTCATTTTTTATTATAATCGCACTTTTAGAACACAGAACATACAAGGGCAATAATAGCATTATATTGACATCAAAATAAATACAATATAAAAAGAAAAGAAAAAAATTACAATTATTCATTCATTCATTCATTCATTTTCTTGTTGGCTTAGTCCCTTTATTAATCTGGGGTTGCCACTGTGGAATGAACCGCCAACTTACCCAGCATGTTATTACGCAGCGGATGCCCTTCCAGCCGCAACCCATCTCTGGGAAAAATTACAATTATTCAAAGATGAACTTTAAGTCTTAAAGATAATTAACAGTTCCTTTTGCTTTTTTTTTGCTTTTATCATACATAGGTAATGACCTTTATCTATTTTAAAGTGAGTAAAATTCATTTTTTTTCACTGCCCATTAACATTTATTAATAAAAAAAATTCCATAAATTATGAGCAAATTAACAATACACCAAATTTGAAGTTAACTGTATTCTCGTAAAAACTTATTTTTTTGAACTCCAATGCAATATTTTTTAACTCTGCCTAACTCGTGTTGTAAAGTACTTGAGTAAATGGACTTCGTTACTTTACTTAAGTATATATATATATGTACTTTTTTCAGCACACTTCTAAACATATATATATATATATATATATATATATATATATATATATATATATATATATATATATATATATATATATATATATATATCTTCTTAAAAGTCTTGTTCCAGTTGACATCTTATAATTGTGATCTCTAAAAACCAATGGCTGAAGTAACACTGAAAATCCGATCCAATTCAATCCTTCCAATTTAAGACTAAATTCTAAATTTGTATTTTGAACTATTTTATTTTCTAATAATTTTCTAAGCTCGGAGGGAATACCATTAATTACCACCATATACTCTTTGACAGGTACAGTTGAAGTCAGAATTTTTAGCCCCCCTGAATTATTAGCCCCCTTGTTTATTTTTTCCCCAATTTCTCTTTAACGGAGAAAATACTTTTTTCAGCACACTTCTAAACATAAGAAAATAATTCATTTCTAATAACTGATTTATTTGATCTTTGCCATGATGACAGTAAATAATATTTGACTAGATATTTTTCAAGACACTTTTATACAGCTTAAAGTGACATTTAAAGGCTTAACTAGGTTAATAAGGTTAACTAGGCAGGTTAGCGTAATTAGGCAAGTTATTGTATACCGATGGTTTGTTTTGTAGACTATCGAAAAAATAGATAGCTTAAAGGGGCTAATAATTTTGACTTTAAAATTGTTTTTAAAAACTAAAAACTGCTTTTATTCTAGCCAAACTAAAGCAAATAAGACTTTCTTCAAAAGAAAAAAAACATTATCAGACATGCTGTGAACATTTCCTTACTCAATTAAACATAATTTGGGAAATATTTTAAAAACGAAAAAAATAAAAATAAAATAGTTTCAAAGGCGGGCTAATAATTCTGACTTCATATAAAGGGACAATTTTTCTAGAAACTCTAAATACGTAAGCAAATGACCATTTGATGTTGCTATTTTGATGTGGAATACAAAGTCACCATCTAGATAAAAGTAAACCACTGTTTTCACTGTGATTTTGTTTTTACTAATACTATTGTACTTATGACTCATTTATATGAGATACAGCAGTGGTTCTCAAACTGTGGTACGTGTACCACCAGTGGTACGCAGGCTTCCCTCTAGTGGTACACGGAGGATTCGCTGAATAAATAAAGTTAAAAAAATAAAAACACTTTTAACCTTTTGATGCGAACAATAAGCCCGATGTGATCAGTAAAAGCCTGATTTTAATAGGGTAACCCTTTTATTTTATTTTAAATTTTTTAATGTTTGTTATGTATTCTATCATGTGAAGCTAATCTCCGCCCCATATATGTAATGGTTGTTGGGGCGTATCCTCTATTTTTATGTCCCAATGTTGACAGGTATAGTTTAATCACTTGCTTTTCTGACACACACAGCCTACTCTAACGCATATTAAGCAGATCTTATTTCTAAAAATTCTTTAAATATGTAAATTAATTTAATATATTAAAAATACAAGTTAATGTTTATATTTCAAAGATATAAAAAAGTACATGCATCATATATTTTAAAATTTATCAAAGAGTTTATATATGAATATGATGACATATAGCCTATATTTATGAGGTCCAAAGTACATTTCCATGTTTTGATGAATAAGTGACTTTATGATAATACTTTACATTTAAGTACAGCAGTTTTCTTTTTACTTTTAAGAACTGTCATTTTAATTAATTTTCAAAATCACAATTTAATTTAAACGTTAACATTTAATTTTTTTTACCTGTGAGCACAGTACGGTGTTAATGTTCAAACTATTTATAATGTTTAAAGTGGCTGACAATAAATATTCATAACAATAAGAATTAATCTGGCACGTTTTTGAACTGTGCAGAGCTGGAGCTGGAGCTGCACATACTTAGCTTAATTAGGCCTACTACACTACTGTATTTCAATACTGGTCATTATGATGGTACATGGAGAGAAAAAAAAAATCTGAGGTGGTACTTGATGAAAAAAGTTTGAGAACCACTGAGATACAGAATGGAACATATTTAAACATGCAGTGCATTTTTAATTGAAGCATTGTGTTATTTTACACTGCTCAAACTGTGTTACTGCTCAAAAAAGTGCTACTGTGGTATTCAAGGTCATTTGTTAATAGACGACAGATTGTTGAGACGCTCACATTTTTAAGCTTTACATAAATAAACTGTTTCAAAGTTGTCCCTTTGACTTCGACTGCTGTCCAGTAGATGCCAGTAATACATTAACAATGCACTGCGTTCTACACAGGAGAAGAAGCTCTTTTTATTGATGTGTCTGTGGACCAATCACAGAGCGAGACGCTATTGACGTCTTTGTATTTTTATGTTGCTTGAACTCCCTGGTCCAATCAGACGTAAAGAAATGAATGACGTTTTTAAAGTTCATGCGCTCCAGCCAATCGCATACCGCGAATTCTGAAGCGCGAAGAGTTCAAGGCAAGCGCAGTGGACGATGGCTAACGGAAAACCCTGAAGTGTGATAAACAACTTTTAAAAATGCTATTTTTACATATATTCCGTTACTTTTAACCGTATATATAATCAGTGGTTCATTTTAAACTGTTTCGGGTTGTTTTATCTCAACAGCGACAAGTATCATGACTCGTGTTGAGAACGATAACGTCCGTGTGCGTTCGCTGGCACCAGCTGCTTGTGAGATGTAGCTTGCTTAACGTTAGCGTTCAATGACATTTTAAATAACGTGACGTCACACTGTGGGGCAGTTTTTTATTTTTAGAAGTATAAAGTTGTGACTTTTCGTCGCTGGAGACTGTATTATTGTGCATGGCAGCTCTTTAAACACAGTTATGGCCTCTCAGAATGTCGTTTTTGCTATCGACGTGGATTATCGATCCGAAGGGACCAAAAACACGAGTAATACCTATCAAGACCACCTCAAACAATGGATACTAAGAGTTCTGCTCAGTTTGGGACACAGATATGGTCTGGAAAAAGTTCGATGGGGGTATAAATTCTTCAATTCGAGAACTGTGAAAAGCGCAACACTTATAACCAGGGGATCTGATTTCAAGGAGCTTCAGGAGAAGGTGTTCAGTGACTTTGAAGAAGAACTCCATGTCAAGTTCACGACTGAAGGAAAATCTCCTAGAAGTCAGGAAAAGTCTCATAAACTGAAACCCAGCCCGGCTTGTTGTGTTCAAAATGCATTGAAAGAGATTCTTCTGGACTTCCAGTGGGACAGACCTGATTTAACATCACCCACCAAAGTGACGCTGAGACCAAGAAGGTCGAGTAGAAGTGGCAGAAACATCCCCTTGCAGGACTGTGACATGCTAAGTGTTGACAAAAATGTCCTTTTTGTCGTGTCTGAATGTCCACGGTCCAAAGCAGAGCTGGAAGACTACTTGTCCATGCGTAGAGAAGACAGTAGACATCATAAAGACATAAATGAGCAGATGCTGCCCAAAGGTCTCATAGATATGCTTATGCAACGAAACGTTGTGCTTCACTGGGCTGATTCAGGTGTTTTCAAGGTAAATTGGGCTCGTGTAAAGTTCATTTTAAAAATTCTATCTTTTACTTACACTTTAAATAAGGGCTGCACAATATTGGGAAAAAATCTTCAGTGTATATATTCCCATATGAATACAAATTCACCAGATGACTCTATTGGGAAAGAATACAAGATGGTTTTAAAGGGATTGAATCTGCATAAAATTAAGTTAAAAAAGAAAAGCATAGATAAATAATATAGAGCAATGATACAAAATGAATAACCAGTGCTTTATGGTTTTCTGTGAGTCAACAGTATTTGAGTACAAAAAGTGAATAATTTAAAACAACACTGTTTTATCTTCTGTGGTTAAATATATACAATTAACTTAGTCTTTAAATTACAAGCATTATGGTTGTTTTGCGCCCATATGTTTAAATTTGCTGGAGGCCTGGAAAAGATTTGGAAAAACAGGAAAGCCCACAAAGTTTTGAAAAAGTCAAACAAATAACTGTATTCTTGAATATAGGTTAGTTGTCTTGCCTTCTATTCTGTCCATGGCCAGTCACATACTCTCACATTATTAGTGCGGTGTAAGCATTATCTAAATCAATATATAAATTGAAACTAAATAGATTTCTTCATGTTTTACAATATGCTGTAATAAGTTTGAACATGCGTTGTTTTTCTTTTACCACTCATGTAGATTTGCATGAAACTTTAGGTCATGAAAATGTGCTTGAAAGTCTTGGAAAAATCATGGAAAAGTCATGAAATTTTAGTAGTAAAAATGTGAACCCTGGCTGTTTTTAGAACAGGCCCGCGGGCACCATCTTGGTGACCCCTGCTTTAGAGTTTCCACATTTTTCTGAACTCTAGTGTGGTTAACTTTAATCAAGACTTGATATTGCAGATCCTGCAATGTGACTATTGTGGATGTGCAAACTGCAGTATTGATACTGAAATAATATGTGGTGTAGCCCTACTTTACATGTTTTAGGGTTTTTTGTACGCAAAATAATCATTTAGCAAAACGTTAAAAACCGATAGCCATTGACTTTCATAGTTTTTCATAGGATGTCAATGAATATGAATTTCCAGTGTGTTCAACAGAAAAAAAGTGTTTGGATTCGCTTAAGGGTCGTTTAGGTCTTCATTTATGGGTGAACTATCCCCTTTATGCTCCAATTTTTTAAATGACTGTTCATTTTCTCTTTTTTTTTTTTTTTTCCAAACCAGGCTGATCATGTGGCGAAGGACTACACTGGCATAGAGACTCTGATGGAACGTCTTGGGCTGGTTGGTGGACAGGTGGTGCCAATGTTGTCTCCTTGTTTACCACTGATGGACCAGCATCCTAAAATGAACTCTTTACTGGCTTTGGGAGTGGATGCATTTCCAATAGATTCCACAAATAGCTACCTTCACTTGTCTAAAAGAATGCAGCAACAATTGTTTCCTCCACTAGGAGCATCTTTTTCCTGGATTGCAGGTAAACGTATAAAATTGGTATAGTATTTTTAAAATAGTATTTTTTATAGGGATGCTCTGATTGATCAGCCGGAGATTGGTATCGGCTGATATGATAATCACTTTTAATGATCGTATCAGTAGTCGCTGAGCTGAGGTTCGTTCTTCGTACGAGGATTGCTCAGTTAGCTTGATTTGGGTATTGACGACACGATCCAGGATTGTTTCGTTCTTCAAAACTAATCAAAGAGTTGTTGTCATAGCAACAGTTCCGGTAGCTCAAACCTGGTCTGGAGCAGGCTCATTTCATATAAACAAGATTAGATCTGCCCAGTTCAAGCAAAGAAAATACTAAAAGTATGTACTAAATTCTGATATTTTCTTACAGAAGTAGTTATATACACTTGAAAAAATAGTAAATATCTATATATATATATATATATATATATATATATATATATATATGTAGGACATTGAAGGTGTTTTTTAACCTTACATACATATCATCTTGTTGTTTGGGACTTTAAAAAGTGAAATATAACCGTTCTCAGCCCATAATATGAGCTCTTTAATAAAGCTTATGCAATCTGCACCCCTGAAATGAAAGTTCAAAGACTGTCACCTGGTGGTGCAAAGAAAAAACTTATTGATATTAACTTTTTAGATCACTTTAGTACATTTTGTATGATAATAGACATGCACAATATGTGACTTTTTTAAGAGCAATAATACATTTATGCAGTCATAAACATGTTTTGACAGCTAATATAACGGTGATTTGATGCTTTAAAAGTTGCAGACACCTTTACCAATATCAAAATGCTTTTGTAAACATCCAGTTATTCTTTACACCGACTACAAAACCGGCTACAATAATAATATTTTGGCTACTATAATAAAGAAAATCCGCTCTAACAGTAAAACTACATAAATTGCTCTAGACACATGAAAGGGCCAAGCATGCAGCCCACAACAAGGTGTAAAGTTATTGCGTGTCATATTTAACAAACGGTTGACTACAAATATTATGTAATTTAGCTCATATATGGATAATTTAATATTAATCAGATGATGTCATTACGCTGCTGTGCCTTCAGCCAATCGTTGCATTGCTGATCATGATTTCGTGGATCGATAGCAATACATGCAGCGATCTCGGATCAGTTCATCCAGACATTTTAATCTGATTCACGACATTGTTTGAAGAACCAAATTAGCCAGAGATCAGTCATCAAGATTTAAAGATCCAGGATCTGCCAAATCATCTTAGATTATTTAAGCGAACTACGAAGAACAGACCCCAGGTCGATCTCATGAACCGATCACAAATGTTGTTTAAGCACTTGCAAGCAGAGAAAGATGCACATGCACACCCGAGTTATACATACAACAGCTACAACACATGAGGAGTTAAATTATGTGTGGGGGCATGACCAATCACTGCTCTCATGTCACAGCAGCTAATAGATGTGCTGTAAGCTCTGTTAATACAGTTTACTGATGCGACTTGTGCGAGTGATGCTTTCTTTGTTGCAACCATTGTATTTCCAGTATTTTGAGCTGCTGTGATGCAAGCAGAGCGACCTCTGCTATACAGGAGGGGCTAGATCTAGTGTCTCATCCAACCGTATGACCTCTGCCAGAAGCTCTGCTAGTCTTATACATATTTATACAGGCTCTGTGGCACCCGCAAATTAGTTAAAGTACCCCGGGAATCATCGTGACGAGAGTGAATGAGCAAGAGAACAGATCACAGTGATGTTGTAACTTGTAAGCATTATGTTTGTTAGGTTAAACAAATAAATCAGTAAAGATATTGTGAGTATAAATCCCCCCTAGCTGCTGTGAGGCTCTCCGGATTTGCTGTCAATAGTTGGAGATGAGCAAAATAATTGAATGACCTTTCATGTATCTAGGACTTTTTACATATAAGGACTGAAAATTCTGTGTTTCACTATAGTTCAAAGTTCACTAAAACCTGGCTGGAAATATTAGATAAATTCAAACAACTTAAAAACTTATATTTTTAACATGAACATTTAATAATATAACTTCTTGTAATTTCCTTATTGCAATAAACAGTAGTTTATAGAACTATTTATTTTATTAAGAAGAAATGGATTTGTAAGTGTGCATTTTAAGTTGTTGTGCATCAAATATGTGCCCTAAATTTTGTTTTGGACATGTTGAATTCTTCTTTCATTATTTGCAATGTTTTCAAATTGCATTATTAGTAAATATCTTAAGTTTTATACTTAGAGGGAAAATGTGGTTTATGTATTATAAAGCTTAAAGCATCAGAATCGGTACTCGGTATTGGCCGGTCACCATAACAAGGTATTAATACTCGGTATTGGCTAAATCCTGATCTGAGCATCCTTAATTTTTTGTATTAATATATATGTAATTAATGTGTAATAAGTATTCAATAATATTACCATATTCATTGTGTGTTTACAGTTAAAAAAAAATAGTAAAAAAAAAGGGATAGTTTATCCAAAAAAGAAAATTTAGTCATCCTCAGGATGTATCAAATCTTTATGAATTTTTTTTCCTGATGAACCTAAACTAAGATATTTAGTTAGATGTTGAAAACTGGTAGCCATGCTTAGTTTGAAAAAACAAATGCTTTCAAAGTCGATGTTTACCAGTTTCAAATATTTTTCCGTTCATTGTTACTTATTTTGTGTTTAACCAAGGAAATAAACATAAACAACAAGTGGAGGGTTAAAAAATTATGCCAGAATTTTCATTTTTAAGTGAAGTAAACCGTTTATATTAGCACGCATACATTATTGATCAAAAGGGATTGTGTGTCTTTATTGTTTACAAAACTTTACAAAATCCTCCCCCAAATCTTGATGATATATATTTTGATCTTTATGTCAGAGACAAAAATCATTAAAGCAGTAACATTTTTTGTTAAATTGTTGTATTCCATTTTTAGCAAGAGGTGTTTGTAAATTTTTACCTAGATTGAAAATACAAATCTTTTAAAGGACTCTATACATCACAGTAGAGCCACAAAATGCTAATTTGTTGTTGTTTAAAACCTTTATGCTATGCTTCTATTTTTATAAACCACTAAGCTTTGCCTGTTTGGTAGCAAGAAGGTTTAAATAATTTCATATGTATTAAAATTTTGTCTGGTCACTTATTCTATCATATATTTTTAATAATTACCAGTCTGAATAAATATGTTTAATATTTTTCAAAACTATTTATGTTCTGCAGAATAATCACAACACATTTTTGAATCATTGATATCCTATATTTGAAATCCTGTCTATGAATATAAAATCAGTTTTTTTTTAAAGGGAGGTTTATATGGTCTTTGAACCTCAACTAACTTTAAAATAAAGTTTGCTTGTTTTTTACTAACATTTTCCACATTGTCATTGATTTCTAAATCTTTTTGTGGCAGATGGCACCAAGCGTTCCTGTAACGTGACATTGGAGCCAGTTTCATACAGGCAGAGATCTTTGCGTGCTCCTGTGGATGTGCTTCTCAAGGTGTCCTGCAGAGTTTGGACATTTTGTCCCTTTCACATTCAGCCATTGAGACCTGGATACTGCAGTGTCCAGATGCGGAACTGGGTCAGGAGGCTTTTCAGCATTTAAAGCAGTTGTCCACTGGAGGACATGCTATGGTAAAATCACATCTAATATGCTGTTTTATCTGATGGTTCCAGCTAGGGGGAGTCTTGGGTACTTTACCATCCGATTTCAAAATGATTCTTAACCTGCATTTTTCCTCTTTCTTCTGCTGTACATTTTCATCTTTACATTTTAATCAGAGTTTCTATGCTTTTGTTTAATGATTGGAATCTCTGTAATGCCATTAAAAAAAATATTTTATTGAAATTATTTTGGATAACAGCTTTGAGAGTAAAATATAAAGAACAATTAGAGGAGCAAAGTCATATTGCCAAAAAAGAGAGTATTACACATTTTTTCTTGTTTGTTTCATTTATGTTGCATATATATAAATGCGCAAAGTAGGGCTGCACAATATGAAAAAAAACTGACATTGCGATACACTTTCACCAGATGGCTGAAAGTGTCTCTTTTTGGAAATAATTCATAATTTTAGACTGATTGGGATGATTTGGTAGTTTAGTGCATTTGCATGAAATAAAATAAACTAAATCTCACTAGCATTAACAAATACAGTGAAGCAAAGATGCAAATGAAATGCAGAGTTTTCTGAGAGTCTCGCAGGCGAAATAACAATAAACCAATGTAAAATATTACTATATAGTCTACATCAGATGAATACAATGAATCTTTCTTAAAGTTAAAGCATTATAATTGCTTGCCTGAATGTTTTAAACTGGGTTGAAAGGCTCAGAGACCTTGAAAACAAATGCAAGTGATAAACGTGTTGGTTAATTTTTTGTAAAATTTTTCAGCGAATCCACAAATCATGTATGTTTTCAGCTGTAGAAAATCCCAACTCGACATTGCAGATCCTGCAATGTGACTATTGCGGATGGGCAGGTTGTGATATCGATGCTGAAAGGATATATTGTGCAACCATAATGCACAGTCAAATGTATTAACCCTTATGTGGAATTGTAATTCGGCAGCCAATGTATGTGCGCCTATCAAAACTTTTTGTTTTGTTTAAACCTCATGCCCACATAAGCCCACATCATTGCAATCTAAGTGGAATATAGAATCAATTCTGAACTTTTATAAATCAATTCAGAATTGTTTGAGAGTTTAATTGCATCAATTTGTTTTTCTCATCAACCCCTAGTTTCAGCTCTGAAGCATAATTATCACATGCAGATATTTAATCTACCTAAATAATAATAACTTGCAATGGTGTAGCATTTGCTACAAAACTTTACCACACAGAGACTGTTATTTTAGGCCTTCAGTCCATGACTATTTCTAGTATTTTGTTTGAATCTGTAATGCTAGATTCACACCGAATGCAAATGTAAGTATTTATGAAAGTAATTTACATACAAAGTCAATGCAATAGTGGCAAATTTCTGCCAAATGGTTTGAATGACAAACTGTGAGGGGCTTTGTGGAATTTGCTTCAGCAATAGCCCCTTTTTACACAGTGATACCGGTAAATATCTGGAAAATGTCCGGAACGACTTTACCGGTAAATTCAAAAAAAGCACTGTTCACACAGGCGAGGACGTTGCGGAAATTTTCCGGAAAAGAGCATTCACACATCCATTCCAAAATACTGGTAAATTCTGACATCATAAACCACAAATGAGCTTTAAACGGCTGCGCTTGTATTTGTAAACATTTGACTAAATTACAAACTCTGTGGATGATCAATATTGTGAACAACTTTCGCAGGATCACTTTCGCATGTTGAGATGTTCATAATATGTGCGTGTGCTGGCGCTCACAGGCTGTTTCACAGGCACACGCAAAGCTTGAAGGTAAACAAACAACGGCTTATCATAAGCATCTCATCGATGATTATTTACACAGTTGGCATTAAGAAGAACATATAAACGTGATCTGACTAACTTCTAGCAGCTAAATGTGTCTGGAAAAATATTCAAAGGCTTTTATTCGCACAAACCGCGCAGACGTAAATGCGTCTAACTGTTGTGATTGGCTAAAGCAGACGTCTCACGTCAGCACGTTCTAGATATGCACGCGCTTATTACGGCAATCTTCCTTCTGCATTCACACAGCGCAGCATTCCGGCAAATTGCCGGTAATGTTACAACTTCTCTTTCCGGAAAATAGCCAGAACAAATTTACCGGTATTTTCAAAAAGGACCTGTTCACACATACAACCTTTCGGAAAGGTCTGTATGTGTGAAAGGGGCTTATGTCTTCTGTCTAAAATCCAAATTTAAACTCAAATCAAGTTTAACTGAACTCATGTGAGGCTGAAAACATCCCACGAGCAAGCGATGCAATGTGCAAATTCACTTTGCATTTGGTGTGAACACAGCATAATTGTTTATGTGCAAAGCTAAATGCGAGGCAGATTTATGATACAGACAGGTTGTATTATCATAAAGCAAATCTTACAAAATTCTGTCTTTTCTACCGTACACAGCTTGCAGAAGTAAGTGAAGGAGATGTGGTGTGTTCAGCGGTGCTATCGGTGCTGTCATCCTGCACAGCTCAGATCACTGTCCTTCAGCCTCTGCTTGCTCAGGAAGGCCAGCTTTTGCCCGCAGACCTTGTTTCCTTGGACACCACAGACATTTCCGGTGACTTACCTGATGTAGTCAGCAGTGTTCTCAGTGTCATGTATGACATCATGGAGGAGGATGACTGCTCAGGTGATTTCATCTGAATTCATTCTTTTTGTACTGTGCCAAAATATATTTGGACACGTATCTTTACAATGTTCTTGTGGTTTCTAGATCACGAAAAGATGCCTTTGGTTCCTGACTGGGCCAATCAGGAGCTCAAACAGGAGTCTTCTTCAAGGAGTATTGGAATGGTGGAGGGATGGTTTCCACTCTCTGACCAATCAGGAATTAGCTGCCACTTAATGGAATCAATGAGGTTTGGAATCTTTCAGTCAGATGTTTCAAACCTTTTTTGCTTTCAAAGGGTTTGGCCACACCAGTTTGTGTCAGAACTGCATAACATAAGTACTCAAAGATTTGTTTTACACCCACAGGCTCCTGCATGCGGCTCCTGAGGAAAAGGAGAAGGGAGAGGAGTACTCGGATACTCAGCAGGAGATCACCAGCAGTCTCTCAGAGTTCTATCAGAGCAGCACAGCTGGGTCCAGTGGTAGTCTCAGGTCCAAAAAGCGTAAGGACAAATTGGATGTTATTGATGCACTGAAAACATTTTTGCGTTGTTGCGCATTTCAGTAATGTGCGCATCTTTTAAAAACAATAATTTCTAATGTGTTTGTTTACAATGATTTCATTGCAATCTGCCTTTTTTTTAGGGGGTACACAATGCACGCCAGTAAGACAGAAGATGAAGACCATGAGTCGTTCTCTACAGATGCTGAATTTTGCCCGCTTGAATGTGAAAGCTCAGAAGACTCAGGGGGACAGTGGCTCTGCTGGATCTGGTAAAGGGACTGAAAAGGGAGGGAAAAAATCATCCGGGGATCGAACCAAGCCTGGCCTCTTGCGTGAGTATAGGGTCATTTTTTCGAGGGGGAAAATAAATTCACAAATAAGGAACATTTTGTAGATGGTGATCGTGCTATGAAAATGAATCTACTTTGCTTTCACCTAGAGTTAGGGATTGAATTGTAATAGTAAAACTATACTGTTCTTGCATCACTGTGTTTGTAATGAAAAAGCCTCCATGGGTCAGTTTTTGTTGCTCATTTAAATGATCTAAGATGATCCTGGATCTTTTGATCTTTATAGCTGACCTCTGGCTAATTTGGTTTTTCAAACAAGTTTGTGGATCATCTTAAAACGTCTGGATGAAGAACAGATCGATCAATCAGAAATCATGATCAGCAATGCAATGATTGGTCTACGGCACAGCAGTGTTACGACACCATCTGATTAATATTCAATCCATGTTTTGCAAAATTGCTTAAAACGGCTTAAAGTATTCCGGATTCCTGATCTCCGGTGTGCGGCCGTGAGGGAAAAAAATTTTTTTTAGAGCCTGTGCATGCGGTTTAATTAGAGAAGCTCAAAATAACCGCTAACCAAAAGGGTGCATTTGTAACCGACTAATAGTATCAGTTAAGCGATTAAAAAATATACTTTATATATGCATAAAGTTTGGCTGCATAAGGGGCAACTGTTCAATGGTTTACTAACGGCCGCGACTGTTTTACGGCAGCTTACATAAGACCCACAAAAGAGCACCGCGCTTCTTTTTTATTATGTTGCCAAGGACTACATTTATGAATATAACGTTTAGACATGATACAGCAAGTTCAAGTTGAGCCATGAGCCTCGTTGGAAAACCTGTATTACATCGCCCATCTGGGAACATTTTGGATTCATGGCGAACGAGAAAGGTGATCCAATAATTTGGATGAAGCTTTTTGTAGGACTTGTTTAAAAAAAAAAAAAAGAAAAACGTTAAATGGACAAACACGTCAAGTTTCCAGAGCCATCTGGAGCCATCCATATGCGGAGCCAGCTCAGGTCATGTCATCTTCAGAATGCAAACGCCCAGCTAGTCAGCCAGGTATGGCAGGCCTTTTAAAAATGACCAAATACAAAAGAGAAAGTGATAAGTCTTTGCTTACAACCCAGAAAAATAGAAAAAATAAGTCGATCCATCACTTCAGACACTGAGGAAAAAGCTGATGCTTATTAAATATTAAAATATTTTTTAAATATTAGCATATCTTGCATGCAAACCCATTATAGGAGACTTTCAAAAGTTGGGAACCTGTAAAACAATAGAGTTAATGATTACATTTTTCAAATGTATGTGCTCTCAAACAGACTTCAGCAGTGAGGAAGAGCTGCTTTCCCACCTGGGACTCACTTACCAGAAAGCTGTGGAAAATAGAACCATGTCTGTTCCCTCTCAAGTCCAGGATTTGCTTTCAGTTGTGAAATCATTCCTCAAAAGTAACGCGGAAGTAAGTGATTTTCTGACTCCCCTTCACATCGAGATCACAGCTGTTTACCTGCAAACACTCTGTACTTTATTCATGTATATAAGCTTTGTTCCCCAAAGATTGTTGTCAAATCTGCTTATTTGCTGTTATTTTGAGTATAAAATGTTGTTAACTATTTTTATTTAAATAAATGGTTTAATTGAATGGCATTATTGAAGCCTTTCCAGAGATTTATGCTGATGTTTTTTTTAATATGGCAGTAAAAAATAACAATAAGCAATTAAGGTTAATAATAATTATTAAAAGACATTCAGGCAGGCTAATCACTTTCATGCAAAAAAGAAGACTTTCTTGTTGAGTGTTCTTTTAATCTTGATTTAACTTTTTTTTGCAGGCTTCATTACTGAATTTAGTGCAGAAGCATGTTCTGAAATCCTGCCAGTCTATTCGTCAGCATTACGGAAATTCTTCAGATGATGAAAGCAAAATCAGAGAGTACGTATTAAATGCAATGAATGTCTAAATAAATGAACTAACAGTGAACTTTTAAAATGTATGAAACATGGCGACAAAACCTTTATCTTTGCGCAGATGCCAGCTGCAAGCAGTTCTCAGACTTGAGTTGTGCAAACAAACAGAACAAGAAGATGAAGAGGTTGTGGAGCAAAGAGTGGAAGACGTAAGGCGACCGCTAACCTTAAAAATATCATATCAAAATATACCAATGAATTAAAGGGATTATTGCCCTTATTCTGTATAAAATAAAATCGTAACCATTTTCTTTTGATCGTTTAAGGTGGCTGACATGCTACGGATTATCTCTCGGAGTAAAGATGCTGTTTACTTATCCAGATTCATGCAAGAAGAAGTTCTGCCGTTGTACGTTATCAGTGATTTAGAAATATTCATTCAAAATCGAATTGTCTTTAAAGTATGATTCATAAAATCCATGATTTGATACCTTTCAGGTACATGAACAGCATTCCTAAGGTCCTGGCAGATGTGTACCACAGTTTAGGAACTCAGTTGCCTGAGGCACTTGTTGCTGTACTGCCTTCTGACTTCTTTAGTGATGAGTCTTTGGCTAAGGACAGTGTTTCTGTGAGTCTCTCATCTTTCTCTGCCACACAAAGCAACATATCCAGTGTTGGCGATCATTTGGAGGAACTCCGCAATCGCTCTGCTAAGAAGAGAAGGTGATTGTCATGCAAAACAACACTTATATGAAGTGCTTTTTACATTAGTAAGAATGGGAGCGGTTCATGTGAAAACAAAAACATGACCACAGAATCCTGAAACAACCAACTCGACAATTTTGTGAACCGTCAAACCATTAATAAGTATATATACTTCAAATATACTTCCAATACTTCATTAAATAAATTTCTTTCTCTTATTTTCGTAGACAGAGCATGATCACACGCCATAAAAGCATGACTGAGGCTCCTCAGGCACTGCGACAGATAGAAATTCCAAGAAAGTCCACACGTCTGGTTAGACATTTTCTTTTTGCTTTGATATTATTGATTTTCTGGCTTCAGGAGTGTCAAAATACTAACATAACCTTTGTTGGGATATATAGGCAAAGCCAAAACTCTGTGTTCCAATAGAGAAAACTGCTGTGGAACAGCCACCACTACCTAAGCAACCAGTTCAAGGTAACTAATTTATCCCATTTTAAGATGCTCAGGAATTTATTGAGTTCTGTTAAATGTTTAATTTTTTAATTTTAATTTTATTTTTTTTACATTCACAGAGGTAACTAAGGTAAGGAGAAATCTTTTCAACCAAGTGACTGTATCACCCTCAAAGAAATCCAAAATGCCACGTAGCCAGTCTGTCTCAGCAGTAGAGGGAATCAAGAAACGCAAGCGTTCAGATGTGGACAATGATGGTAATTTAAAATTTAGTTTTTAAAGTTTAATTTTTTTTTTTTTTTTGAGAGAGAGAGAGAGAGAGAATGATTGGAAAATAAATCCCCTCCACAGTGCATGTACTTAAATCTTAAAATCTTTGAATTTCAGATCGGCACACTCTATTGACAAAGAAAGTATCTGAGACTCCCCTGCATAAGCAGGTTTCAAGTCGCTTACTGCACAGGCAAAGGACTGGCAGGTGAGGCCTATGACCTACATTCATTGTTATAATTGTTATATTTTAATGTCTATTTTGCATTTATTTAATTATCTTTTCACAACTCTTTAGATTTAGAACTGTTTATAGCAGAGTATGTGAGGAGTTATGACCATATACATGAGATTAAAAGAAGGAAAAATAAATGTCTAAGTAAATTAAAATAAGAATAAAGAATTTATAATAGGACTAATGGTGGCATTTATATGTCAGATAATCCAGAAAAGTAAACCAGAACCAGAACGATATTAATTGGATAATAAGTACATATCAGTATTTAAAGAGATCTGATTAAATCAGCAGAAGTCTATAAGGTCCAACCAAAATTGTCGTTCTCTAAATGAAAACTGGTCTCTATGCATTTTGGTTGTGGTATATTACAAAATGGTGTGTTCAGCATGTAGGATATCCATATGTATTGTATTAACTTTTTTATGCGAGACATCCTGTTTGAAATTTTATTTCCTGTGTTTCTCCTGCCCTCTTTCTGACAGAAAGTCCGGAGAGTCTGATGTGTGCATTATTGAGGAATCTCCTATCAAACCAGTTGCTGGTAAGTGCCTTAAGATGTTAATATTGAAAAATCACTTATAGAACTGCACTAATAAATCATTTGTTCTCAGACTTGCGGAGAAGCCCAAGAATTAAAAGCCTTACCAGGAGACATTCAAGTGTGTTTTATTCAAGCTCTCAACCTCGTTCTCGAAATCTAGACCGTGTCGTCTCCTCCTCGCAACTCTCCCACTCTGAGGGTAAAGGTGAGCAGGAAACAGTGTTTCAGTGGCACAGGGAAAATCATGATTTACATCATGTTGCAATGTGGTATGTTGTGGCATGGTTAAAGTTGCATTGTCTTCATTTCGCAGGTAAATTCAGTGTTAGTTCTGTTAGGTCACCAGTTCGGCTTCTTTTTGGAGCCACCCAGTCCCCTGGTCGTCTGCGTCACACTACAGTGTCCTCTTTAGAAGATCAAGCCAGTAAAGGGTTGCCACTTAGGTGTTTATCTTTTGAGGTAATTTCTAATTTGGTTTACAGTTAGTTCAGATAACCTGAAATACAGTTGGTGTTTGTGATCCTTTTGTATTAAAAAGGTCCATTTATTTTTCAGAATCAAAATAAAACTCCACAGAAGTTAAGGTCTGATGCACTGGCATCTGCAGTTGGCTGCAGAACCCCTCAGTCCCCAAGAACTCCAAACCGGACAGTTGGAGATAATGGTATGGCTCTCCGAGGAAGCCCCTTTCAGTCCCCTGCTGCAAAGAGTATAGTGGTAGAGACACCCATGAAAAGCCCACTGAAGGGGATACTCAAGACTCCGATTAAAAAAAGCCTCTTGGATTGTGTTTCTCCAAATGGTGCTTGGCTGAGGAGCCCAGGTTGTAAAACACCAAAGAAGTGTGTGACATGGTCTCCATCGCCACGGAAACCTGTGCCAGAAAACCAGGTCAATGTGCCAGATTCTCCGGTGTTTGCAAAAAGACACTCACCAAGGCTGGTTACACCTGGCAAAAATAGCAGCCCAGAGGAAAAAATTGTTTTTAAAACGCCTGACAAGGTGCCCCAAAGGAAATCTAAGACATCTCCTGAAATTATTCTCAGGAGACTTGAAATTCCTGTAAATATTGACCCTGAAACATGTAAGTCTATTACGAGGTCAGGAAAGATAAGAACACTGAGCTTACCTTACAAAACAAGTAAAGGGTCAGATGAGTTTTTACCTCAGTCTGAATCCGGGTCCTTTCCTTTTTGCAATTCTCCATTGAAACCAAATATACAAAAAACAATACAAAGCCCCATCCCAACACACAGAATGTGCACTCGCTCTGGTAACACACCCGTGAAAGAGTCTTGTTCACCCTCTAGCAACTCTCAGGGCATAACAGGTACTAGCCCTTCACCTCGTAAAAGTCTGTCTTCGACTGTAGCAAAATCAAGTCCATCACCATCCTTTGGTCCATCTAGATCGGGTGTCAGCAATCAAAATAATTCATCCATCAGTAATGTGGAAAAGCATACAGATGATAATGAATTAATTGTGCAAAACAAGGCCAACGATGAAAAAGCAGAAGAGGCATCATCTTCTGACTCCCAGCAGTTTGATTGCTCTGAATTCAGCATTACAACAGATGATGAAAGCATTGACATATCAGAGGCCGCAGTGGTGAAGACCCAGCTTGTTGGAGGCATCAAGATGAATATTGCATTCTCAAGGAAACCCTCTAAATCAGACGTTTTTGAATTTGAGGGCAAACAAACTACCTCGACTGGTACACCATTAACTCGAAGTTACGGCTTCCGCCAAACTCCAGACCGCCGCCAGCGGGAAGCAGAAGCACGCCTAGGATATTCTTCAGGAAAACCGAAGATCTCCACGCCAAGAACAAGGAGAACTCCTGCATGTGGAAAGCAGTCTTCTCCTCAACCACTTACCTACGAAGTAGAGATGGAAATGCAGGCCTCAGGCCTCCCTAAACTAAAGTTAAGACGGACTGATTCTTTTAATGCAGGTGATTTACCTAGTAGTGCAACCAAGGGCATAACCTCGCATCTTGTGCACCGTAACAAGACAAATATGAAGGCGCCACAAATTGACAGCCCTCTTGTACAGTGTTCTAGACATCCTGGCTGCATTTCTCCATCCCTCTGCAGTCGAGCAACCCCTGCCAAAGGTACACCTGGGAAAGGAGTGCAGACATACATATGCCAGTCCATCACTCCCACACACCATCCCACAAGCAGTCAATCCCCACTAGCATCTCCTCTGACTCCATCCCCTCAAAGCAGAGGATGGCCAACGCCAGAAAACCTAAATAGCTGGCCCCGCAAGAAAAGAGCTCGGATCGAGACTTGCGGTAACAAAGAGCAGGTCATCAAAGGTGTTCCTCTGCTAGAAAAGACTGGAGTTATTGAGGACCCAGAGCTTGAAGGTATTTTCCGAATTCAAGGGGTGGAAGAACTCAAGGAGTCGCTGAGCACCCCTATTAGTCAAAGAAAACTGGGTTTGAGATCCAGCCAGGTGATGGACCATCAGGGATCTCCTGAAGGAATGGACTGGACTGAAACTATGGCACAAATGTGTGATGCTAAAGACTCTACAAAGACTGAACAGTTTGCATGGATGGGCAGAAAAGGTATAGTAAAACTTTGGTGCAGTACATAGCATGTTTCTTTTTAATGTTATATTTATATTTAATGTTTATTTGTTTATTTTAATTAATTTTTTACAAATGCCATGACTCGGATGTTTTGCAGTGGACACTCCGAAAGTAAAGAAACAAGTGTCTGCCAGTGGAATCTTCGCTCTCACTCAGTCACCACTCTTATACAAAAAATCAGCTGTAATCAAGGAAGCAACACAATTTAGTGGTAAGAAAGTGGTGTATGTTAAATAGTGTTTTACCTAAATTGATTGTAATTACTCACTCTGATATGGTTCCAAACCACCAAGACTTTTTTTTTTTTTTACATCTTCTGAACAGAACATAAGGTATTTTAGATTAAATCCGAGAGCTCTCTGGTCCTCCATAGACAGCAGTGATCCCACCTCATTCAAAGTCCAGAAAGATACTAAATAATTGTCAAAACAGTGCATGAGTCTTCATTGAAAAACTTTAAAGCTACAAAAACACTTTAGTTTCTTCTTCTCATTGTCAGTTAGAGGTGCAACAATTAACCGGTTTCACTATTAACCGCGCTTTAATTAGTCACGGTTAATTAATCGTGAAGGTTTCTCAACACTGCGTTTGTCAACAAAACGGCTACAGCTAAACTTTGTCATATGTGCGCTAGTTTAAACGTCTGAGCTTGTAAACTGAGGCTAATACCCACGCACACTGGATTAACTATGGCTCTTAACTAATAAGGGCTGTTCACATGTTGTGTCTTTTGTGCACAAAAGTTTATTTCTTTTCGTGTACGCATATTGGAAGTGACGTGCACACGGTGCGCACATGGAAATGACTGTTCAGCTTTATAAAATGATGCTTAGAATTGACCCTTCACTAAGCTACACCCAAAAACCATCACACACCAATCGTGGCTTGGCAACCGTAGAAACGCACGGGAGCTCTGTCAAGTTTGTCAAGAGCGAGGCAAACAAGCCACAGTATTGTGCACATGAATTGTGCAAATCTGATACCTGGTATCCTACATTTTTGGACTGGGTGGTGGATTTGTTTTTCCCTTTACAAAACCTAAAACCCAAGGGGGAAAATGCCAGCGTGAATCAAGCTGTGTGAGGGGCTGTGAAAGCAGCACAATTCAGTCATATTTCCATCTGTTTCAAGCCATGAGTATTTGGATTACATATTAACAGAACAAAATGGAGATATGATCACAAACTGAGCACTTGCAATCAATATACTTCACACACAGCTGTTTTTTTTTCCAGTAATTTATAACCCTCATGTCCATTTCAGAGCGACAATTCACTAATGTTTTTGTTGGTCTTTTGTTGGTCTTTTGGAGATTTAGTTTCATTGGTGACGATGTTATAGTAGAATAATATTTGCTTTTATATTTAGTGTTGGATTAATATTTGCTGGTAGGGAAAATCTATTTGTTCACTTCTGCTATTTATACTTTGATTTTTATTTTAATTTATTTATTGTTTCCACTTAACTTCAAATTAGAAAAGAAACAGTATAAATGGCACACAAACATTCATTCATTTTCTTCTCGGCTTAGTCCCTTTATTAATCCAGGTTGCCACAGCGGAATGAACCGCCAACTTATCCAGCGTGTTTTTACGCAGTGGATGCCCTTCCATCTGCAACCTGTAATATTTGGTACAAATCCATCAATTTCCCCTTTTTGGCTGCTCTTGCTATGATTGATGTAGAAGCACTGTCCATGCGTGTTTCCTTGTCGGTTAGTTACGCTATATTTCATTGCACAACAATTAATCTATCAGGCTTTTTGGCTAAAAATAGTGAAATCACGGTTTAGTTTGTTATTAGATTATTTTTACATTTCACCTCTTCTGCTGTGCATGAGCTAAGCTGTTGAATGGTCAGCGTATGAGGCGGCTAGGCTAAGCTAGCTTCAATTTTGATTAAGTTATTTTCTAATCGGTCGCCTATTATGTGGTGAATATACACCTATAATGCATTCTTTTTTTTTTTTTTTTGTCTGGTTTTCTTGGATATCTCACTTGTTCGCCAAAAATGACTAATTATATCGCTGGCAATGTCTGACACTGGCGCATATTGACATTGTAATAGATGTGCCAGACACGAAAGCTTGACAGGCGTAACAACAGTAAGCAGGGCGGAGCTTAGTGAAGGGTCAGTTATCACAATATGATGCTCAGATTTACATTTAACAAAAACTGTTTATTTATTTATTCATTGTTCTCTCATTTATTTTCAGTGTAAAATTGTTTGTTTATGTGGCAAAAACCTTTACACTTTTTTTTAAGTCCAAAGAGAAATGGACAATAGTTTGTTTTTTTTACTATTATTTTTTGAGCTGTATTATTTAGTTACTGAGCAGCAAAAAACAACACTTTCAAGTGTTTTGAAAATAAATGAACGCACAATAATCACGATAAACCGTTATTATTTCTTAGACTATAATCGTACAACCAAATCAACCCAAATTTATAATCGATGCATCCCTAGTGGGTCTGGGTGCATCCCTAGGGTGTGCGCTCATGAGTGCTGTGCACTGATGTATACTTCGGATGCTTGCATGCGACATTCTCGTTTTGAAAAGAAGCACAGGAGCATCTGATCTAATATGTACGCAGTGCAACATTACTCTGGTTAACGCACCACCTATACTGACAGAAGAAGAAACTCTTTAATAAGGTTATTTTTGTTTTATGTGCACACAAAAGTATTGTAAATACAGTAAGATTGAACCGCTGAAGGAAAAGTGTTTTGAGTGTTTTCTGGCATCACTTTTGAACAAGTTGGCACCTTTGCTGTCTATAGAGTAGGGCTGCACGGTATTGGAAAAATCTAGCATTGTGATATTATTCTTTTATTTTTGCGATATGAATACAATTTCACCAGATAACTTAATATCTCTATTTAGAAAGATTTATTCTGTTAGATGGATTGGTAAGATTCTGCAGTGAGAGTACATCCCAGTAAAATCTACTTTTCAGGGTCCCCTCACACATTTTCAATGTAGTATGTGCTATTTGCAGTGCATTTCTCTATTTGCATGTGTTGTGAGTATTTTCATACATGACGATCTATTAATACAATCAAGAAAAAGATGCAAATGAAAGAAAGTGTTTCTCCAGTCTAACTGTATTCAAGTACCGCAACCAAATGATAAAAATAAAACTAATTCAATAAACTTGATAGTTGAGGGCACAAAAATGGTACTTTTAATAACTTCTTATCAGGGCTGTGCAATTAATCGAATCAATTAATTGGCTTCTAACGATTATGAAAAACCATTAATCGAGATAAACGATTATTCCATCATTTCCTGCCCCCTTTCCAGTTGTACACATTTGTTACTCTTTAAAGCGTGAAAGATTGCATTCTTATGTATGTATGTGTGTGTGTGTGCGGCGCGCAGACACAGTCAGAAGCATGCGGTCAGCATTTGGTCTCATTAGCACACTGTGACGAGCAGAGCGCACACATCTAAAATGATCTTAATGTGAGCGCTTTAATGGTCGAATAGGTGTCAAAACGAGGTGTTCAGTGATTTCATATTAACCTTCATTTGTGTAATAAACAAACGAGTTTAGAATAAATGACACGTTCCTGCTGCCGCCTGTTTTTATCATTAATCTAACAACAAAAGGAGAAAATCTCTCACTGCTCTTGACTGAAGGACTTTTGCAGCTAAAGTGTTTTACTTGCAGTGATTTTGCTTGAAGCACAGTTTTTTCATATTTTTATTCTATTGTATTTATTTCTCTTTCCTTTGCAGGGAGGAAAATAACTATATATGCAGTTGAAGTCAGAATTATTAGCTCTCCTGAATATTAGCAACTCTTTTCCCCCAATTTCTGTTTAATTTTTTTTTCTATACATTTCTAAACATAATAGTTTTAATCACTTCTAATAACTAATTTTTTTTTATCTTTGCTGTAATGACAGCACATAATATTTTACTGGATATTTTTTTAAAATAGAAGCATTCAAATTCAAAGTGTGATTCAAAGGCCTAATTAGGGTAATTAGGCAAGTCATTATATAACAGTTTCTTCTGCAGACATCAAAAAATATTTTTGTATTTTAATAATATTGACCCTAAAAGAGGTTTTAAAACATTTAAACCTGCTTTTATTCTAGCCAAAATAAAACAAATTAAACTTTCTCCAAAAGAAAACATATTAGAGGAAATGCTGTGAAAAATGTCTTGCTGTTAAACATAAGTTTGGAAATATTTATTTAAAAAACAAATTCTCAGGAGCGCTAATAATTTTGACTTCTTCAGCTGATAATCGTTTTGAATAATCGTGATTACAATTATGACCAAAATAATCAAGATTATGATTTTTCCCAAAATCGAGCAGCCCTACCTCTTCTACCTGAATGTTTCTAAAATCTTTATACAATCACAGGTATCAAAGGCATGTACAAACGATAGATTATGATACAAACTCAACATTGCGTATCCTGCGATGTGACTATTGTGAATGATCACATTGCCATATGGATGCTGACTCAATTGTGCAGCCCTTCTATGGAGGATCAGAGAGCTCTGAGGTTTCATCTACTTAATTTGTGTTGAGGAGACAAATCTCGGGAATGTAACATAATTCATTTGTACATTTCGTTTTTGGGTGAACTTTAAAAAGATCATCTGCTTTGTGCTTGTTTTTTGGAAATGTGGAAATCTGACCTTTTATTTGCATCAAATTAGTTTTGTAACATTTTTTTTTTTCTCCAAACAGGATCCAAGTCTGAGCTGGAAATCTCTCCTCTTTGCCAGCCGAGAAGGCGAAGGACGCCTAGCAGGACATACAGCCGAAAGAAACTTTTGGACTAGGTCTGTCTTTAAAAGTACTTTTGGTTTCCCTTTTGGAAAATCCTATTTTTAAACGACAGTTTTATCTTCTGTTTGTTTTAGCTCATCTTTATTCTTATTTGCTTGTATAATAATGCATCAACCATCCTTGTATATTTTGTATTTAGTGTATTATAGAGGTCTGCAGCGGTTAATTACAGTTTAACAGAAGATTGAACTGGTCTGACCTCGACATTAATTGTGAAAATAAGGTGGAGACTTTTCCTTTTTTCAGTTTTATGAAGTTGAGCTTTAATTGCTTTCGTTTGTTCAGTTTGTTTGCGTTTTATTTGTGCTGATTTTTTTTAAATGTGGCATGGATTTTAACGTTCGGCAGCTCACAGCATCTATCATAATGTGAAATAAATGTAAATGTTAAACAGATTATTTTAATAAAGACGTTGTTCTTATGCCTACATTATTACATTATTGTTGATGGCGCACTAATGGAGTGGCAGCAGTGTGTGCTCTTCTGCAGTAGGTCAACGGCAGGTTTCCATTATCTTTTATCAGGTGTTCTCTGCCATGAACAAGGCATTTTTCCCAACAAACCTGCTGTTCACTGCGTAGTTTAGTTAAGTTCATTCTCCTTAAATGGTGTTATGTGAAAATTCTGGGCTTCAGATCACTCTGACCATGTCTACATTTATTGAGTGGTTGGCTGATGACAGCAGTTGAACAGGTGTACCTTATAAAGTGGCCTTTTGCTGCATTCACAAATAAACTCAGAAGGATTAGGGCATAGACATGTTCTGTTAAATAAATGTCTGTGCTTGTGTCTCACTCTGAACCCCTGTGTAGAGTGCTCCATCTGGTGGTTTACAAGAGCACCATGTTGATCTCCATCCAGCTGCAGACCCGCAGACGTTTCAGGCACACACGATCTAGGCAAACCATGTGCTTATGACGGATATTAATGTTATTAACGTCTCCTCAGACATCGTCATCAATATAATTGTATGTTGTTAATAAATATTGGACAAAATAAAATAAGAGTATACTTTCTCACAAATATTGTGATCAAGAGGAGCAAATGGGGAGCGTTGTTCCTGATCGCCATCAATATAATACACTGAACAGTTTTCTATCAGCCATCATAGATGATCAGCCTTTATTATCTCACAGAGTGAATATAGCAGATACTCGTTTGCTGGCCTTGCTGAACCATCTAAATTGGACAGGTTTAATAGTCAATAATACATCTTGATATGTAATACAAATCTTTTTACATGTAATAAATGTATGACATATTAATATTCTGCTCAAGTAATTTTAATTTCCCACATTAAATACTATAGTAATTTAAAGTTAGCAATATATTGTTTTTAAACCATAAAGTATTGGTAATTTGTTGTAATTAAAGTTGCAACAAAATAAGCATTACAAATTAGCTGTTAATAATAATAATATATAATATATATAATATATATTAAATCATTTTAATCTGACATTATTGTTTGCTTTTTATTTTTTACAACAAAGTGATATTAACCAAGGATGATAATATTAAGATCCTGAATTAGTTTATTAAACTTAATCCTACAATTAGAGGATCTATTATGTTCTTTGTGTGAATGTGGGCACGTGAAGTCATAAGTATTTTACCAACTATTTTAACTTGCGTAATTTAGTTCAGAAACAGCGGAGATGTTAAAATGATCGTTATGATTTGATAATGATATAATGACTGATATTGGGAAACCATATTTGTGAAATTCAATAGGTGGCGATAATTCTCCTAAGAAGTTAGTTAGTTAGCATATATGATTAGCCTAGTTCGTGTGTGCCTGAAGCGTGTGTGGTTCTGCGGGTCTGCAGCTGTCTATATCTCGCTTTAAGAGCAATACCATGAGTTAAACTGGACTGACGCGGTTGCAATTTACTTGAACTTTTATGTTAAGCTGCTTTGACACGATCTACATTGTAAAAGTTTCATTAATAATCTAATAGGTGCTAAAACATCATTGGATGATGGTGTCTGGTTTTTTGAGATGTGCCAATGCACTCAGAAGTGGGCACCAACAGCAAAAACACTGCATGGCGATTTGTGTCAGTTAGACCAGTGTTTCTCAACTGCGGAACTGGGGTCCGTTCTTCGTACGTGGATTACTCAGTTAGCTGGATTTGGATATTGACGATTTGACACGATCCAGGATCGTTTCGTTCTTCAAAGCTGATCCGAGAGTTGTTGTCATAGCAACAGTTCTGCTAGGTCAAACCTGATCGGGAGCAGGTTCAATTCACATAAACAGGATTAGATCGGCTCAGTTCAAGCAAAGATAGTACAGAAAGTATGTACCGAGTTCTGATATTTTCTTACAGTAGTAGTTATATACACTTGGGAAAATGGTACATAATTTTTAAATTTATATATAAAGTTATAGTCATTAATAAAATAAATAAAGTTATATATATTAATAAAACGTATACAATCTGCACCCTCGAAATGAAAGTACAAAGACTGCCACCTGGTGCAAAGCGAAAACTTATTGATATGAACTTTTTAGATCACTTTAGAACAAATTGTGTATAATAGAAATGCACAATATGTGACTTTTTTTTTTAAAAGCAATAATACATTTATGCAGTAATAAACATGTTTTGATAGTTAATATGCCAGTGATTTGATGCCTCACAAAAGTTGCAGACACCTTTACCAATATGAAAATGCTTTTGTAAACAACCAGTTATTCTTTATACACCGATTAAAAACCAGCTACTATAATAAGAAAATCTTTTCTAAATGTAGAACTAAATACATTGATATGCATTGAAATACATGATGAATACTCGTCTTGACAAATGAAAGTGTAAAGCCTGCAGCTCACAACAAATGTGTAAAGTTCTTGCGTGTCATATTTAACAAACCATTTACTGCTAATTTGATGTAATTTTGCTCACATGGATAATTGAATATTAATCAGATGATGTCATTACGCTGCCGTCAGCCAATCGTTGCATTGCTGATCATGATTTCGAGGATCGATAGATCTGTCCTTCATAACACACGCAGCAATCTTAGATCAGTTTATCCAGACATTCTAATCTGATTCGCGAACTTGTTTGAAGAACCAAATTAGCGAAAGATCAGTTATCGAGATGAAAAGATCCAGGATCTGCCAAATCATCTTAGATCATTTAAGCGAGGTACGAAGAACGGACCCCTGGAGGACTAACCAACATCATGTTTTGGATGTCTCCTTTGTCTGGCACACCCATTACAGCTCCTCCTGTCTCTACTAATGAGCTGATGATCTGAATCAGGTGTGTCCCAAATCGCATTATTCTACACCATTTTGTAGTATAAATAGCGTACCTAGTGCATTCACACACATTGAAAAGTCTAAAACAAGTCAAAAACTGGATTCCTGGAGGGCCGCAGCTCTGCAGTTTTGCTCCATCCCTAATCAATCACAGCTGATGCAACTAATCAAGGTGTGCAAGATTACTAGAGACTATTAAACAGGTGTGAGTCGGAGCTGGTTTGAGCTAAACAGTGCCGAGCTGCAGCCCTCCAGGAATAGAGTTTGAGACTATAACTCTAAAATGAATAAGCACACTTTTAATGTCTGGATAATGTCCTTATTCAACGGTTACATAAAAGTATGGAACGCTGGACACTTCATACACTCAACGACCATTGCTTTGCACCTCTTTAAGTAGGTCTCGGTACGCTTATTTGGTCTGCACTAGAGTACGATTGCTGCATACTCACCTGCCCAATCGAACCGCACCAAAAGGGACAACGAACTCTAGTGCGATTCAAACTAAATAAAGCAGGTGTGAAAGCACCATAATATTAAGGTATGACAACAACATTTTGCTAACAATGGACATTGACAGTAAAAATAATCAGCAGAAGGGGCAGAGCTTTCAGGCAGTGATGTTGGATAACAGACACTGCTCACTGCAGAGCCAATGAGGGAGAGCTTGAGCTCCAACTCCTCCTCCTATAAGCTGCTTTAAAGCAAACACCCACCACTAACCCCCAGTGACATCACTTGTAGAAGTGCAAGGAAGTAGGAGCTGGAGCTCAGCTCTGCAGTGAGCACCACTTGGGATCCCTGGTTACAAATATGCTCATGGCAGGTATTTTTTGGTAGTTTGGTCATTTATTTGGCAACCATGAAACATCCTCAGAGAAATCTGAGAAACTTTTGCTGCTTAGTAAAGAAAAAAAAATCGTTAGTGTTCCATTTTGGGACAACACTACATACATAGACAATGTGGAAGTGCACTAGTGCAAAGTGTGCCATTTGGGATGCCACTTCCAGAAATTGTGTAGAGCTAGGGGTCCTCCAGAAACATGGTTGAGAAACACTAAGTTAGACGAGTGGTCCCTCAATTAAAGCTGCTTTAATGTTTGTTTGTTTTTACATTGTAGCATCACCATGTGGTCAGACCACACAACCTTTAGAGCGACCTCAGATCCAGCTCATACTGCATGCTGAAATTGGTGGCATCTTGTTCTGTCCAAGAGTAATGGAGATATTTTTTTTAAGTGTGTGACTACACCACCTGAGTTTAGATTGAGCAAAAATAATCTAGGAGCAAACAAAAAGCATTTATTAAAAAAAAAAAAAGTAAAAAATTATATATATATATATATATATCCACAAAAAAGGGCGATTGTGGGCAAGCCTGGGTGATGGTCCAGATGGGGTGGATACTACAATCAGGCAAGTCTCTCCTAAGCTCGCCCAATCTGTTTTAAGGCAGAAAAAGTGGCCTTTGTACTTTTCTAATTACAATAAGATTTTAGCACTTGAACACTTGAACCCTTCAAATTTGAGATGACCAAGCACAATTCATGGTTTCCGCTACATTCATTCTTCCATGGCGGGGCGCCACACCAAAATTCATCCCGCCACGGCTGCATTACAGATCTTATTCAAAACATTTTATTATTTAAGAGCGATTTATAAAATAGCACCAAAACGTATTAAAAGGCAAGTGAATTATAACAGCGCAAACTTTTCTGTAACCGTAGCAGTGCTGTGCGTCATTTGTTTAACCCTTTAAAGTTACGTGCTGACTGGCCAGCAAACTCGACGTATAGCCGTTTCACTTTACTTCGGAACGCATTATTAACGCTTTGTAGGTCTATTAGAGACTTTCATAAATATTCCTAGCAAATCGAATGAATGCTGGAGACATAAACACACTAAATCGCACTTCAGCAGCGTTTATTTAAGAGCGCACAAGAAGATCTGCGCGCTCTCGAAGCGGCTTATATTTGAGGGGGCGTGCAAGAAGTTGTGCACGAGCAGAGGAAATAGGCGCGCAAGCAAAGAGATCTGCATGCTGTAGACTATAATTAAATGCGATCTCGACGTTAATACTGCGCTCACAATGACACAGGTAGATATGTGTAAAAAAAAAAAAAAAAAGGCCTATCGCCACAGCTGAAAAATAAATCCTAGAGGAAACACAGCAATTATAGGTTTTGTGGGCCTTTTATTTCAGAATCCTTCCAAACATACAAAAAAAAAAAAAAAAATGGTACAAAAGAAAAACTCACCAAATCCCCCTACCCTTTTCCACGAGAAAGAAATATAGAATTGGTCTCAAAAGTGCATCTCTCCAAGGTACAGACAGTGTAGAGTAAAAAATAAAAATAAAAAAACAAATCTCATTTTGACAGATCTGTACCTCTTCTTCCTCATATCTAAAAATCACAGTCTGGCCGTCACAAACTTCCACAGCGTCCAAGAGCAGCAGGCCGACATTGTGACACTTGCTTCACTAAAGATTGGGATATAATTTACGACTCCTGCAGAAATTTTCCTCCCAGGCTGCTGCGCTGCGTTTGATTACAACTCGCTCTTCTTCTTTTTTGATTTCTTCTTGTCCTCTTGAACGACCACTGTGTTTGTGGCCTCTCTCTTCAGGTAGGAAATGAAGTCGCTCACTTCACGACCTCCCTGAAAGCCAAACAAGATTTGATTACAAGTTTTTGTAGAGTGAAGCTGAGATTTTAGAAAATAATAATACTAATAATAATAATCATCAGACCTCATATTTCTTTGGATTCTGTTTACGGCCAGCTGGGGAGAAATAGATTGTGGGGAACCTAAAAATACAGGAATAATTCAAGCAAGTTAAAACATTGAAAAATTCTTTAACTAATTGATATTTCATCAGTTTTATACAATTGTATTAATAAACCTGCACTGATGTTAATTAAAACACAAATGAGACTGCAGTTTTTTACCAATCCAAACAGAAGGGGTGATGATGCATTACATACCCGCTAACTTCATACGGAGAGGGGACATCATTAGCGGTGGCATCCATTTTTGCAATGACGATATTTGGATCTTCGGAAAGCTATGAAATGGATATAAAATAAACAATTGTAATAATTGTCAACATTTCATGGCAAATAACACAACGAGGAGCTGTAAAAATCACCTTCTCTCCCAGTTCTTTATATTTGGGCTCCAGGCTCTTGCAGTGTCCACACCAGGGGGCATAAAACTCGATGAGAACGTCTTTACTGTCATCGTTTACAATCGAGTCAAAGTTCTCAGCCACAAGAACCTGGAATAAAGATAAAAGTTGCAGGAACCAAAGGCAAGTTTTAAAATTAGATACACGAGTAGAGTAGGGATCACCAAACTTGTTCCTAAAGGGCCGGTGTCCAGCAGATTTAAGCTCCAACCCTAATCAAACACACCTGAACTAGCTAATCAAGGTCTTACTAGGTATACTTGAAACACCCAGGCAGGTGTGTTGAGACAAGTTGGAGCTAAACCCTGCGGGGACACCGGCCCTCCAGGACTGAGATTGGTGACCCCTGGAGTAGAGCAAATATAATGTGCATCAGTGGTATATTTAGAGTAGGGATGCTCATAACTGGTTAACCGAAAGGTTACGTTTAACCAAATAAATGGTATCAGTTTAAAAAAAATTCTAATTGTTTAAGTTTGGCTGCATAAACGTGCAACACATATTTGTTAACTCATGGAATGGTAACACGTGCCTACAGACGTATTTTGCCAAAGAAGCAAAATGAAAGGAGGATATTGCTGGTCAGTTTGACACAGAGTTGATGCCAAACCAGCGCTGATGCTGATAGCCTCTGTCCTGGAGCCACATCATAAACACCTCCGTTTACTGGCACAACTGGAGAATGATGCAGCAAAACAAAACTTTGACTTGTGAGCTGCTTTAGAAAAAAGCAGCTCACAAGTCAGAGTCTGAACGTTCTCTCCATCACAGCACATTTACTAGAATTTTGATCATTTATTGTATAACCAACAAACCAACGTTTTTCTATTTGAAAAATTATTAATACAGCGTTTCCTCTAGGATTTTTTTTCAGCTGTGGCGGTGGGCCTTTTTTCCCCCCACAGATCTACCAACTACCTGTGACCTTGTGAGGGCAGTATTAAAGTCGAGATTGCATTTTATTATAATAACAAATTATTTCGTATAATTATTGTTAGTTTCGCTAGTGTGTTTTTGTTGTTGTTTTTACTTTATTTTATGTTATTGTTTAATTTAATGTTTTATCATATGTAAATGTAATTTATTTGTGCGTCATTCTGATTATTACAGTTTTTATTTATTACTACCATCAACCATTTCAACTTTCTTTACGTAACATCAAAATGAGACATGTTTTGACAAAATTTGTGACAATTATACGTTGTTTGGATGGGGGGTGGGTTGTTTTTGTATTTTTATTTTATTATTATTATTTATTGTTATTATCTGTCTTTGCTAATTGTAAAAAAAAAATAAAAAATTTACAAAAAAAAATCCTGATATTCTTTGTATTCTCACATTCTACACAATGTTATAAATTTTGTCAATTAAAAGTAATAAAAAAATAAAAAATTAATTTAATAATAATCTGATCAGTTAATGGTTAATATTCAGCTTTCGTTTATCAAAATTAATCAAAATGAGCATCCCAAATTTAGAGCAATAATCATCTGAAGACATTCAAATTTAAATATCTATGACTAGTTGTAGTTTGCGTTACAGTAATCTGTTAATAATGTAGTGAAAGTTCTACAAAACCCTCATTTCACCGTAGACACCATATTTACAACTGATGCACTTTCCATGTACAATATTTCCGTTATTTGAATCAATTATAATCAAAAATGGAAAAACTCAAATCCTCTGACGCACCTTCACAGGGCCATCGTTGTTCTCAGGAACGGGCTCAGATTTAAGGTAACGCTTCAGGTTTCCATCAAAATAATCCTGCAGGAACCTCTCCAAGGCCTTTCCATCACGACTGAAAAAACAAAAAGGAAGGGTTTTTTTCCCCACCCAACAGAAGACCTTGCTCTAGGCAGTAAATAAAAAGACTTACGAGAACTCCTCCTTCATGACGTATTTGTCTCCTTTGGCTGTTCGAATGCCAACGAGAGGAAGTTCTCCACTGCTGCCGTCCAGACCCAGTTCAGACACATCATGGCTGAAGCGGTTCTTATTGGCCACAGCGAAACTCAGTTTCTTCCCCTGATCCAGGAAACCCTTGGCCACTTTCATTACCCTGGTGAAACACACACCAACACATCAGATGACAATCTAAACACTTCCTCTTCAATCAGAAATATTAATAAACACAAATAATGATTTTGCTAACATTTAGAGCCAAACAAGAATTAGTAGCAGTGCTTTAAAACTGTTTGTATGAATAGTTGTAATCAGTTTTCCATTTGGATCAAAGGGTGCTTTCACATCTGTAGTTTGCATCGTTTGGTCCGGACCAAGGGCAATAAGTGATACATTGTTGCATTTTCTGCTGTCTTTGGGTCGTTTTCACACCACACTGCTGGCTTTGGTCTGAACCAGTTGAAACAAACCAAAATGCAGTCATCTGACAAAATCCACATCTCTCATTGGCCAGATGTTGTTAAACATATTTTCTAAACTGCTTGTTGATTGGTTAGAATTCATGTGCGGGAAAATGCCAATGAACTGCCGCAAGTAAACTAAACCGGCAGACACAAAATGTGGCTTTTTACTATGGAGGGACGACTGCGCTGACTGATTGTATGCCTGCTTTAGACAAACTATACATTTCGAGAGTGAAGCACGACCAAGCTGGAAAACATTGTTTAATGCATCACTCGTCACAGAGGCGTGAATTAATTTAACTAAACTGCAACATGGTCATCTTGCGGAAATATTACCAACGATCCATCAGGTGATGTTTTCCCTCTCTCTCTCTCTCTGTTGGTAAAGCGCTGTCAACAAATATTTTTCCTCCATATCCCATAATGCACAGCGCATCGGCCTACTGCAGCTGGATTAGTCCAAAAGGCGCAGTACTTTTTGCGATTGGACCTGTTTTAGTACTGATCATATTCTCACCACAAACGAACCGCTCCAGGGTTCGTAAGAAAGCTTACCTAGACCACTTCTTCAAGTAGGTCTCGGTAAGTTTATTTGGTCTGCACTCGAGTACGATTGCTGCATACTCACCTGCCCAAACAAACCGCACCAAAAGGGACAACGAACTCGTGCGATTCAATCGAACTAAATAAAGCAGGTGTGAAAGCACCATAATATTAAGGTAGGACAACAACATTTTACTAACAATGGACATTGACAGTAAAAATAATAAATTTCAGTGGTGTAAAGTAACAAATTAGAAATACTCCAATTACTGCAATTGAGCAGTTTTTTCTCAGAAATTATAATTTACTGAGTAGTTTTAACAATAATGTGTACTTCTACTTTTCCTTGAGTACATTTAAAGTGCTGTATCACTACTTTTACTCCCCTATTATCCTTCAACCTGCAGTCAACCATTAATTCAGAGTAGAAACATCAGTTCTGTGATTCAGTCCTGTGATTCCTGTCCAATCAAATCGCACATAGAAAGTAAATTCGTATCATACCAACACAACCTCAAGACATGGACGCTTTATAAATGCAGCAAACCTTTTGGAGCATTAAAAATGTCCAAGATGATGTCCAAAATCTTTACACCCAATGACCCAGAGATTGTTTATGAACTACTGATGAGAAAATGAAGGAGGTTTACTGTATGATGACTAAAAATCGCCAAACAGCCATAAACAAATCACTAAATGGAATAAATGAAGAATGGAAGAAAGTACCAAACAAAGGAAGGAAGGACTGAACTAATGAAGGAAGAAACGACTAAATGAATGAAAAGATTCAACGAAGGAATGATCGAATGAATAAAGGAACAAAGAACCAAATAAAGGAAACAAAAAAAAAAGAATAAAGGGAGGAAGGAATGAAGGAAAGAACACACAAATGAAGGATTAAAATCAGGAAGATTACCAAATGCACTACAGAATGTTACGTTTACACATACCTGGACAAACTGCATGTAAACGCATCAAGTTTTAAAGTATTACTCGCTACTCTGGAGTACTTTTAAAAGGGCTACTTTTTACTCCTACTTTGAGTAATATTTACAACTGATACTTTTACTCTACTTGCAATTTTGGGCAAGTAATGGTACTTCTACTCGAGTATGATTTGTCAGTACTCTTTTCACCACTGATCAATTTTAGTTGCGACTAAAAATGCTGTATGATTTATACCAGGCCATAAGGTGGCGATGTCACTTTGTAAAGAAACACTGAGCTTGCAAACATGTGATCTTATAGGATATATATGCCGAAGTATGCTAATAGGACTTTTAATTTGCCAGTATCCTGGGTTAAGCGCTTCTGGTGAACTGTATGCCATTGCAAAATCGACGCGTTTAAGATCTGGTTTCTTTAAAAATCAGCGATCTCCACTGGCTGAGCGATATCCGATGTAAAGTGGGTCTCAGATTGTACAAGAAGCACTGCCTTAAACGACATTTTTCCCCGCCATGTCTTTGTGCATTTATTTTACCCCAGTATCTTCAATGGAGCTTGAGCTAGCCTGCCATTCTGAGTGTGATGTTTCCACATTGTCGGTTGCCTGGCTAACAGTTTCTCCATAGCTGGCTAAGCAGAAGTGCAAAAACAAAAAGGCCTAAAAACGAAATGCCCTATTATCATCATCAATGTTATCATTTACAATACACTTGCATTATCAAGGCACCGACTGACGCATTTGTATTACATTCCAGAGAGCTCATTTATCAGCACCACAGTGGAAAATGAAGCCATATCTGTGCTGACTGACCCAAATTAGCATGGTAGTGGAAAACAGCTAAACAGTCACAAATGACACATTTGTATGCACCTTAATAGCAGGTGAAAACAGGACCTGAGGAAACATTCGACAAAACCAGGTTTTACCTATTCCTCCAGTAGTTCGAGCCCTTGGGGTTCTTCTCATAATCCACATCATAGTAGGCCACTAACAAGTCTTTGCCTTTCAGCTGGTCTTTGTTGTCCTCAGTCATGTGGGCACAGATGCCAAAACTAGCAGATGGTGAAAAAAAAACGTTGATATTACCAGATTATCTGACCTCCAAATTTTACATCAGAATACATGCTGATTTTATAGTGTTAGCTCAATAAAGTCATCTGTAACTCCTCATCATTTACTTACACTCAAGTGTTCAAAACAGAGTTTCTGTTTAACACAAAACAAGATATTCTGAAGAATGTTTGACAAAAGCAGCACGGACATCCATAGTTAAAATGAAAAAAAAAAAAAATGTCAATACATTCAAAATCAAAGTTAATAGCCCCTTTCACACAGTGATATCGGTAAATATCCAGAAAATTACCGGAACAACTTTACAAGTAAGTTCAAAAAAGCGCTGTTGACACAGACGCAGACGTTACGGAATTTTTACGGAAAAGTGATGGGTCGTTTATGAACGATTCGTTCATTTTAAACGAATCTTCAATATGACTCAGGAAGTACGAGTCATCTCAGGGAGTGATTCGTTCATCCGCGCGTTCGCACATTTGTGCAAGTGGTATCTTTCATTTCAAGTCTTTTGAGTTGTTCATCGCGGAAAGCCAGAAGCCAATCATATGCGTTTAGAGCCGGAAAAAGAATTGATCCATTCATCTAGAGTCATCTATCGGGTCTGAGTCACTCGTTCCTCACGGGCCAATCATATGCGTTTAAAGCCGGAAAAAGAATTGAATTGAAAGGTGAACTAATTATCATGCCTCCTATTGACTCAGACTGTGTACAATGGTTAACATTATATGTGACTGTCAGCGTAACGTGAACGAACGATTGACATGAGCACTGGTAAACATTGATTTATTATTTTCTCCTCCTTATACTATTCTATTTATGACTTATTTGTCGTGTGATCAACCTTTTCGGCTAGTTGTAGATGTGTTTGGAAGCAATTCGTAACATCTTAATAATATTTTGGCAAATTGAACCAAATGAACGAAATGACTCAAAAAAAGATTTGTTCATCTCGATGAACGAGACTCAAAGATCCAAGTCAGTAAAATGATCCGAACTTCCCATCACTACCATTCACACATTCATTAAAAAAACACTGGTAAATTCTGACATCATTAACCAGAAACGAGCTCTAAACGGCTGGGCTTGTATTTGTAATCATTTGACTACATTACAAACTCTGTGGATGGATAAGTAATGAGAACAACTTCGATAAAAACATACAGAGAAACACTTTCGCATGTCGAGATGTACATGATATGTGTGTGTGCTGGCGCTCACGAGGACACGCGCCATGCCGAGCAACTGAAGGAAGCAGAGCTTGAAGGTAAACAAACAACGGCTTATCATAAGCATCTTATCGATAATTATTTACACGGTTGGCATTAAGATGAACATATAAATGTTATCTGACTAACTTCTAGCAGCTAAATGTGTCTGGAAAAATATTCAAAGGATTTTATTTTTATAAACCATGTGGAGGTGAATGCGTCTGACTGTTCTGATTGGCTAAAGCAGACGTCTCACGTCAGCACGTTCTAGACGTACACGCGCCGTTTCCGGCAATCTTCCTTCTGCATTCACACAGCGCAGCAATGCGACAAATTACCGGTAATGTTACAACTTCTCTTTTCGAAAAATAGCCAGAACGAATTTACCGGTATTTCAAAAAGGTCCTGTTCACACATACATACCTTTCCAGAAAATTGCCGGTAATTTTCCGGAAAGGTCTGTATGTGTGAAAGGGGCTAATGGCTGCTTCTTTCCAGCATCGTCCTTTGTTGTTAACATAATTTTTTAATGGTTTGCATCAATTGAGAGTGAGTAAATGATGACAGAACTATAAATTGAGTCATTTTAACATTGCATAAAGTTGAAACGTACATGTTGTCCTGAATGAACTTCTTGATCTTTGCGCTTGTGAATTTGTCTTCTGTGAACAACACGCTGCTGTCTTCAAATTTGTTGCTCAGTTGCGGTGACCGGAACAAAATAATACCTCTGCAAAATTAAGAAAATAAACAATACAAAGTTAAATTTCTGCTCAAAACTACAACGAATATCACTTTAACACAAATAAAAGCTACATACTCTCCATCAATGCCATGTTTCTTTAACAGATCCTCATTGTTAGTGTGGGCGAAGCGGTAGGACTCTCTCAAAGCACTGGCTGCCTTCAGAAACTCTCCCTGAGCGGCACTTCCTCCGTCAGCGAAGAAGCCTGAACACACAGATTACCATTAAATCAAATACAGAAAGAGTGCTGATGGAAAAGCAATACTGAGGTCTAAAATGAAGTCCTCACCCACAACACTAGCATCACGATCTCCAATGTACTTCTCAAAATCAGCTTCATTTTTGAGTTCCACCGAAGCTGGACCAGCCTGCTTTTTCAGATGGCTAACAATTCCATCTGTTAGAGTAATGAAGAAAAGAAAATAGGGTCATGTCAGTCCTTAAGTTGTACAAGACATTTTAGTGCTAAAACTAGCATCTTAACCAGGGAGAGGAGACTTATTCACTACTAAACAATCAAAATCCACAGAGTAACCTAAAATGGCTGCTGCCAGCAATCCACCTCGAAAAGAAAACGTTTAGAACACGTTTGACCACAATAAGCTTTTAATAAGTTTATAGGTTTTACACCAAATTGTATTAAAATCATTTAAAATTATATTTATATTTAAAAACTTAATTTGATTGTGGCAAGATTTTTATTTTTAAAATTTATTTGAATAAGGCAATTAAATAAACCTCTCTTAGAGAGCCCAGTCCTCCCAATTAACCAATCGCTGTTTGCATACTTGACAATCATACTGACGCAGTAGATGGAAACAAGATCAACCCATCCTGGGGTCCGTTCTTCGTACCTCGCTTAAATGATCTAAGATGATTTGGCAGATCCTGGATCTGTTCATCTTGATAACTGATCTCTGGCTAATTTGGTTCTTCAAACAAGGTCGTGAATCAGATTAAAATGTCTGGAGATCGCTGCGTGTTGTGAAGGACTGATCTATCGATCGTCAAAATCATGATCAGCAATGAAACGATTGCCTCATGACGTAATGCGTAATGACATCATCTGATTAATATTCAATTATCCATGCGAGCTAAGTTACATAAAATTCATAGGAAACGGTTTGTTAAATATGATACGCAATAACTTTACACCTTGTTGTGGGCTGCATGCTTGGCCCTTTCATGTGTCTAAAGCAATTTATTTAGTTTTACAGTTAGAGCGCATTTTCTTTATTAAAGTAGTATTATTGTAGCACATTTTTTTTTATTGGTGTAAAGAATAACGGGATGTTTACAAAAGCATTTTGATATTGGTAAAGGCATCTGCAACTTTTATGAAGCATCAAATCACTGGCATATTAGCTGTCAAAACATAATTATGACTACATAAATGTATTATTGCTTTAAAAAAAAGTCACATATTGTGCATTATCATACACGTATTGTATTAAAGCGATCCAAAAAGTTCATTTCAATAAGTTTTTTCATTGCACCACTAGGTATATATATATATATATATATATATATATATATATATATATATATATATATATATCTTAAATATTTACTATTTTCCCAAGTGTATATAACTACTACTGTAAGAAAATATCAGAAGTAAATACTTTCAGTATTACCTTTCAGTATTATGACTGACCCGATTTAATCCTTTTTGTATGATATGAACCTGCTCCCGACGAGGTTTGAGCTACCAGAACTGTTGCTATGACAACAAATCTCGGACCAGTTTTGAAGAACGAAACTATCCTGGATCATGTCAAATCGTCGATAATCAAATCCAGCTAACTGAGTAATCCACATACGAGAACGGACCCCTGGTCTCGTTTCTGTGTTCTGACGCAAGTAATTTAAAGTAAATGCAAATGGCGCAAATGGCTTTCCAGTGTTAGCTGAAGACTTGACTCTCTTCCCAAGTAAAAGTTTGTCTCAGCAACTGTCAAACTCCCATCTAAAAACTTTTATTGACATTTAGGAGATCAATGCTATTGTATTATTTATCTTCCCATTATAGTATAGTTTTCACTTCTTAAATGCATATACTGTAGCAGTTATAAACACTGCATTATTAATTATTTAGACTTATCAAAATTTAATCAAATAACAACCTTCCCCCCGCCCTTTCAAAGTGACTTTCTTCACTTCCTGGTCACATAAAATGCCTTTAGGGCAAGCGCATCAGTAGGCGTCTCCTTTTTGTTCTGAATTCATCCATACATCAATCTTCCTTCATTTTGTTAGCAACACCCATCTTTCAACAATCCTATCAGTTCTCAAACAACAAAGTCATGCACCACCTCCTTTTTTTCCCAGAATGAGGACCAATTGAAATGTATATAGGTCACAATAGCTGAAAAAAAGGACAATCTTAAGTTCTGTTTCATGCGCTTTTGAAATAAGAACATACCTGCAGTCCTGGGACCATCATAGCCTCCAGAGTCCTCACCGTCTCTGAAAATCTTCAGGGTTGGGTATCCGCTTACACCATATTTACCGCACACTTTGGAATTGGCGGTACAGTCCACCTAGATTATAGCAGAAATTAATATTAATAGCAATCCTCCACTAACCTTCATGAAAAACTAGTACATGTAAATTATACATTAATTATGTTCAAAAATAGGGCAACACAGTGGCGCAGTAGGTAGTGCTGCCGCCTCACAGCAAGAAGGTCGCTGGTTCGAGCCTCGGCTCAGTTGGAGTTTCTGTGTGGAGTTTGCATGTTCTCCCTGCGTTCGCATGGGTTTCCTCTGGGTGCTCCGGTTTCCCCCACAGTCCAAAGACATGCGGTACAGGTGAATTGGGTAAGCTAAATTGTCCGTAGTGTGAGTGTGTGTGTGTGTGTGTGTGAATGAGTGTGTGTGGATGTTTCCCAGAGATGGGTTGCGGCTGGAAGGGCATCCGCTGTGGCAACCCCGGATTAATAAAGGGACTAAGCCAACAAGAAACTGAATGTTCAAAAAGTGCAAACTGAATACAGACACTTGTGTGCATGCGACCGACATTTAATTAAACACTAACCCCCAGTTTCACAAACAAGGTTTAAGGCTATTCAAGATTAAATTGCATGTTTGAGCTGTCTCAACTCAAAAAACCTTGCGGTGAGATGTTTTAAAATATGTCAGTGTCATTTTTTGTTCCCAGGTACACACCAGTAATATATATATCCAAGGCCATTTTTATAAATGTGACTTAAATAGCCTAATTTAACTAAGACCTAGTCCCGGCTTAATCTAAGTCCTGTTTGTGAAACTGGGCCTAAAAGTGTTTTAGTGCATGTCTGAATAACTTGCTTAAGTAGGATTTGTCCACGTTCTTACACTGTAAAACCCAACAGTCAACTTCATCAAATGAAATGAGTGTAGTCAACTCAGCTTACTGAAACTTAATTCAACTCATTTGAAGAGTTTAAACTCAGTGTTGAACGTAATGAGTTAATTAAATATCTCAATACTTAAATGAAGTTCACAGTACTCATATAGATTAGTTTAACTCAAATAGTTTGTTGCAATCGATTTCCTCAAACGGTCTGAGTTGCCTTAACTTATTGGGTTTCACAGTACTCAGTTAGTTTGAGCTCTCTTCATTTATTGGGGTTTAGTGTGCTCAAATTGCTTCATTTACTCAAATGGATTAAGTTTACAGAACTCATTAGAATTAGAACTTAAATTGTTTGTTGCAATCGGTTTCCTCAAATGATTTGAGTTACCTTAACGTTTTGGGTTTTACAGTGTATATGTACTTTAAATAGTTTCTATTGCACATAAAATGGAGGTAAAGTTCACTGATTAATTTAATTAAAAGCATTTTTAATTAACTGACTTGTGTCATGCTACAATTGTTTGTTGAGAAAACTAATTACACTTTATTGTTAAGCAGTCCACTTCAGAATGCACCATAAGTCTATACTATAAGCACAGATATACTTTAAGCAAAATCGAACAACAAAATCATGTGACCATTTCAAATGAAAACGGTTTTGTTATTTTTTTGTAAACAACACTGGCTCCATTTTCTATTAGATTCAATGCTGTAAATTTGCTTGCTTTACATCATGGGTGTCAAACTCAGTTCCCATAGGGCCGCAGCCCTGCACAGTTTAGTTCTATTCCTGCTCCAACACACTTCCCTGTAGCTTTCAAACAAACCTGAAGGACTCAATTAGTTTGATCAGGTGTTTTCAATTAGGGTTGGACCTAAACTGTGCAGAGCTGTGGCCCTCAAGGAACGGTGTTTAACACCTGTGCTTTAAAGCAATCAAAAGTACGAAGTGCTGTATATATAAAAAAAACTAAAACTTGACTAGCGTTATGAATTACGCCGCTTGTGCAAACACTAACATCGCGATGATCCAAATTTTTCGCTTCTGCTTAGTCTTGTAGTTTTAGTTTTTAATTTAATAATTTTGTTTTAAGAAGCAAAACGTGCAACAGTTATTTTAAATCTTCTTAAAGACCTAAAGTACACTACAAGGGCACATTGAATACAATTGCACACACAGAGAAAGCCAAATCATGACATCAAATGAATATGGCAAACCTGGAAAAAGATGATTATATACAAAAGATATTTCAGTAATTTTGCTTGGTTAAAAAGCGATACCTTAGCAAGTGGGACAATGCCTTTCAGTCGAGTGGCGGCTGCCTCATACTCAGGGGCAAGACGCTTGCAGTGACCACACCTAAAAGTGAACATGATACATGAGGTTTACTTATCAAAATTAAACAACAAGATAGAAAGAGCAGACATATTTGACTGGCTGACTTCTTAACATCTTTTTAAGACTGAATGGGGTGGGGGATATTAAATGACGGGGACTGAAGACACCATCCTGCAGGGGTGTCCAAAGTCGGTCCTGGAGGGCTGGTGTCCTGCTGACTTCAACTCCCACTTGCTTCAAGCTTGATTAGGTGGTTCAGGTGTGTTTCATTAGGGTTGGAGCTAAACTCTCCAGGACACTGGCCCTCCAGGACCGAGTGTGGACCCCCTACCATACTGAGTGGAAGTTTTAATTACAAAAACAAACAAACAAACAAACCCACCACCACCACCACCACCACCACCACTACTACTACTACTACTACTACTAACTATAAATAATAATGCTAAGTAAACGCCAGTTTTAGTTTTCAGGTGAACTAATCCTTGGTTGCAAAATCTGCGGCACGTTAAAAGTCAATTCATTGATAAACTCGGTCAGTAATGCTGAGGTACGTAATCAAGTGTCATCCAATCACACACAGCCAGCGAAACTTCTTTGACCAATCATAACGTTACAACGGATAGCAGCCGAGCCTCCAAGCGTCTTTGTTGCCGCCCCTCATCGCATTTTACCTGATGTACTGACAAAAGCTGCAAACTAATACGAACTTTAATACTAACAACACACACAAGATTTATTACGGTAAACTGGTATAAAATCCCAAATACTTCAACCAGTAACGTTAATGCTAATGAGAATGTTCATTTTTGGTTTAGAAAGTCACATCTTAAAGAGACAGTCGACCTAAAAATGAGAAGTCATCATCAGTTGCTCAACCTCATGTGTTCACAAGCCTGAATGGCCAAGTAGAAACCAAATGAGACATTATGCAAAATAGGACTTTCTGTCGACCAAATATGCCACGATCTAATATTAGCAAAGAGAAAAGTTTCAAACAGGAAGCCTTTGATTTAACGTTAAGTTAATTAGTTTCGCTCACTATAGAGAGAATTACATAGATTTATTTTGACTGCAGTGAGCGTAAAAATAAAACTTTATTTGCATTTTCAGATTTATTATAAAAACCCCACGACCTAAAGTGACGTGAAAAGAGGCTGCTGTAGTTACTTTCGCTTTAGCAAACTAGTCTTGCACACTCGTGACTTTAAACCTGCACGCAGTTCCAGAACACTGATTTTACTGACTTTAGGTTTGTCTGATTACTAATGACTTATTATATAAATATTACTTCAAATGCAGGGTGGTGTATTGGTTTATATTAGCTGCTCTGAGTAGGCTAGTGGACTCAGTTTAAATCGCAAGGTGAAAAATATTTTAACCACCAAAATAGTCATCCACTCACCAGGGTGCGAAGAACTCCACCAAGATGAGATCGGGTCTCCTATTCTGCTGTCAAAATCGTCATCTGTGTACTCGAGCACATCACTGGCGCGCGCGGCCGCTGCGAAAGCAACGAGAAACAGCAAAGCCAGCATCATGCTAATTCCTTTTCAGTGCAAAGGCGAAGGGAACTGTTTATATGCCTGCAGCCCCTCGGTTTACGGCTTCTTTTTAAAGTGGTGCTGCGTAAGGAAGGAAGTTCCCAAAGAAAGGCCCACTGGTGCTGGAACCCTGCACTCAATGAAAGAGAAAGCGCAGACGGACGGCACGGATGTACAAACCCGGAGCTCTTCAAAGTAACCAAAGTGTGGCATCTCACTATTGGATTTTCAGCCGCGTCATGATGTTGCAATCAGCCAATCAGGACTCGGGAAGCACACATCTTCCGGGTAGGAATCATCCTTTGCATGCAATAAGGAAAAATAGTTTTCTCTTCCTGTGTACAGTATTCCGATTCTCTTAAACATTATATAAATAGGTTTTGCATACGGATAGATACATTTAAACATGTTATAATATACACCGTAGAGAGAGAGACACGTTATATATAGTTAGTTAGGTAATACTTAGGAAACAACAGAAAATAGAAAATTGATTGTTAAGAAAATAAGTAGTTTTATATAAATATATCTAAAAATTAGAGAGGTATTTCATTTTAATTGCTCATTATTTTAACTTATTTTTAATTTTTTTAAATTAATTTTATATATATAAATTTATATATATAATGAAATGACTTCAAATTTAAATCTTTATTAACATTAGTAACGGGGAAAATATTAATTTGTACTAATTTGTAACCTGAAAACAAGTGATACATATTCGTGTACAGCTAATTACACAAATGTTACAAAGGATAGGGAAAAAAACAATACATGAAAGAAAAACAAATATTTAAAGAGTATATATATATATATATA